GCTCACCGTGGCGGGACCTCGCGGGCACCTCCGCCTGCGTCGCCCCCGCCCGCGGGCCGGGCCGGGCCGGGCCGGGACCGCGCGGGGCGCCCTCCCCGGGGTCTGGGTCGGGCGGCGCGGCCCGGGCGGGTGTGGCTGCGCTCGCGCCGCCGCTGACTTTCTCCCCGGCCCTCGCCCTCCCCGCCAGCCTGGGGCCCGAGCGGACGATGCGCGGACCCGGGCGCCGCCTCCTCCTGGGGCTGCTGCTGCTGCTGCTGGCGGCGGGGCCCGGCCGGGCGCGCGCGGAGCCCGGGGAGCCGGCGGACGGGCGGACGCTGCTGCGGCTGCTCGTGGAGCTCGCCCAGGAGCTCAAGCAGCACCAGGCCGGGGAGCGCGCGCGGCTGCAGCTGCTCGGCGGGCAGCCCTGCGCCCCGGGCCGCGGGCACGTCCTGGACTTCCCGTCGCCGGAGGAGCAGAGAGTGGGTGAGTGCCTGGGGCCGTGCTCAGGGAGAAGCGTTCTGGAGAGACGCGTTTCAAAAAGAGAAAGCAGTTTCGACCATTGTTTTAAAAAAGAGAATTCCTCTTGGAAGGAAATAGTGGCAATGGGCTGTCGCCGCAGGGCTCCCTGCAGATGGCCACCCTAGCCCGCCTCTGGCACGTGTGCGCTGTTGCCCAGGTCACTGTTTCCGCACGGAACTGTCATCTGGTATTCTGGAAGGGGAAGTATTTTCAGCTGAGAAAGAAACGTCCAGAGCCCCCGCGGAGAGCCTTTCCCAGAGTGGCTGCCCCAAGGGGACTTTCCCAGGAAAGCGTGTAGCTCTTAATGCTTTCCTGACACAATCAGGTCAAATATGATAAGGTCAATTTTATATAGACCAGCTAAAGTTAGGAGTAAATGAAGACTGGCATGAGGGAGATGTCCCCACCTCCCCAGCGTAAGATGCCAGCGGAGCGCCCCCCGCCCCGCAGGGCTGAGCCAATAAAGGTGGCATCACACACCGCCAGAGCCCAAAACAGGGGAGTGCAAAATGACTACAGATCACTGTAAAAAAGCAAAAACGAAGGCTGAAATCAGAAAGAATGCACCCGCACTCTTGCTGGTACGCTGTGCAGAGAACGGGGAATTCTGTCCCACACCCCAGGCTAACGCCTATTTCCATTCATTTGCACCAGCCTTGCTAACAGGTGGTCTTAGAGGCATTTAATCCTTGTTCTAAGTATTTCTCTAGAGAAAGTAATGTTCCATAACAATTTCCGGGGGGGGGGGGTTCGAAGGGTCAGGTTTTCTTTCTAGAGCTCTGAAATGTGAGATTTAATTCCCAAACTCTTCAAAATGAAAGTGTCTAAAAGTGATTTACTGGAACCTTTTTAAAAAAAAAAACTTTCCTCACCCTGTAACTTTATGGGCTCTGTCTCTACCCTAGTGGTAGAGAACAGACAGATAATACTGGAGCTTTATGAGCAGTGATAACTATCACTATTTGGAGAAAAATACGGCCCTGACTATACTGTGTCCTATCTAACATCAAGGTGCTCCAGTCTGTTTCATTCGGTGCCGTGTACTGTGGCTAACGCAGAGTTTCCCGTAACTTTCTTCAATGTTCACTTAAGACCACATTTAAAAAGTGCTTCATTCAGGCGATATAATAATTTCTTTTCCCTGAAACAGAAATTGTTCCTCGAGACCTGAGGATGAAGGACAAGTTTTTAAAACACCTCACGGGTGAGTTTTCTCCTCCTCCCTCACCTCTCCCAGAGCCCCTGGACACCGGCGAGCCTTCATGGTCTGTTTCTCCTTCCGCATTCCAGGCCCTCTGTATTTCAGCCCCAAGTGCAGCAAACACTTCCACAGACTTTACCACAACACCAGGGACTGCACCATTCCTGCATGTAAGTAACAGTCTCAGAACTCTTTATGACAAGTACGCGCACGGTGCAGGCGGTGGCTCTCACGCCCCCTGTGTCATCATAGGCCCCCATGATGCCGCTTGCTGGTGCCCGCTCCTCAGCTGTGGAGCTGGGGTGACCACTGACAAAGGTAACTGAATTCTGCATCGGCTCATGCCAAGCTCGAAAGAGTTTGCAGTCCCTGAAGTATCAACTTTTGAAATGGGCTGAACTCCTCCATTCATGTTCCTTTTGTTGATTGATCCTGGCCAGATGCCCTATTGGTCTCCACTCAGCGGGGACAATCAAACAGACGTTGGGAATGAGTTGCTAGAATGACTTCTGCCCGGGGCTCACTCTGGGGTGCGAAGAATCAGGTTGGTCTGGACCATTCCCGTTGAGCTTCTTCCAGAGACTCTTTCTGTCCATCAGTAATTATAACCTCATCACCCAGGAATTTTATTGCCATTTCAAAATTCTGGGGTTTTTTTTGGCTGGCTTCATCTCCAGTTCAGAAATGCAGAGCTGCCCTCAGCCTAGCACTCAGCTGTCGCCTTCTCTCCTGCGGGCTTCCATTCTCCTCCACCTCTGCTGGCTGTGCGCCCTAACAGAACATGTCTTACTTCCCCAAAAGTGGCTCTTTGTGCTCCTCACAAAACACAGGTCAATGCCAAGGACTTAGCTAGACCGACAGAGCCCCGGGCATTTTCCGTGCCGGGACTACCGCTTCCCTCTCACTCGAGGCCCACAGGAAGCAAGTCCCGCAGAGGCGCCAGGAGCACCTGCTTTCAGAGACCGTCCGGACGGCCAGCAGACCAGACTCACCGTCCTGCCAGTTTACATGAAGTAGTTTTTTTCTTTGTTTAGGCAGCAAAGTTACTCCAAGTAATAATAACCATCATTTGTAGGGCTTTTCCCGTGTGCCAGCACGTGTCAGTGTATCTTAGCCCAGCAAGGTGGCACCACCGGCACTTTTTACACCGAGGCGCCTGCACACGCAACACGCCACACCACAGGCGAGGGGGACCCAGGGCACACGTGTCTCAGCCCCTCTGGCCGTGCTCTTAGCCACACTGTCCTCACCCCGAGGCCAGCACACACTCCCTGTGGAGTTTGGTTTTTATATTTCTCAAGGGCTACCCCAGGGCACCCCACCCTCGCCCATGCCATACGGATACGGGACACTGGCTCCCCATGTTCTTTTTTTGAAATGGAATCACCCTGTGTTTGAGAATTATTAACCTGCTTCCTGGGGCCAGAGAACCCTGTCATTTTTATTGCTTAAATATGCACATATTTTACATTAAATATTGTCTTACAATAATAGGATCATAGATTCTGAACTTGAAAGTGGCCTTCGGGTCATCACATCTCATTTTTTTAGTCTGTGGGTGAGGAAGCAGAGAGTTTGCACCTCTGTGTGCTGCCACACGGATGCCAGCAGCACAGCTAGGATGAAGGTCCCATGCCCACGGCCGCTACCTCCTTTTGCTGACAGTAGCTCAGATGCAGGACACCAGACTCCTGGTCACAGCTCACCGTGGGCCACCGGGGGCGGAAGGAAAGCAGACAGGCCTGTGCATGGAGACCGTGGCTCCTCAGGTGGTTCTGTCTCTTCTTAGCCCACCGAGAGCTGCAGACCAGAAGCTGGACCACTTCAACCAGGCTGCATAAAAGAACTTCCCTAACCCTGGAATGCTGGAGCTGAAGGGAGTTTGGCGCCTTCTTACGCAAGTGTGGCCCCACAGGGAGCTTGCTGAAATGCAGAGCTAAGGCTCACCCAGACTGCTGCAGAGTCTGAGCTTTAACAAGATCCCCAGACGCGCGCGTCACACCAGGGCCCCAGGGGCGTCCCTGACACACGGGTTGCATGAGGCTGCTCAGCTGGGGTCCTAGACGTGCTGCAAGTGACCTGTTGGTTGATGAGGTCAGCCCTTAACTCACACACGCTGCCGCGTCCAAGACGTGTAACCTCGCCAGGAAAACACATTCTAAAAAGCACAGTGCCACCTGGGAAGAGGAGCAATGAAGCCAGGAATTCAGATGACCCAGCCGCCAGTGGTCAGATAATGTTTTCCCTTTGATCCCAAACAAGATGTGCTCCAGATATTTAGAAGGTGCATTTTTGGAAGTAGAGTTAAGCTAGTATCTAACATACGATAGAGATTCATTGTTGATTTGCTCACTCATTCAGATTCTCATTATGAACTCTTCCCTTTTCAAGCCCTTCAAGGATTTTGCTATTCTTCAAAAATAAGCTCTAGTAATTTATAAACTACCGCAGCTTTCCAAAGAACCTCATCCTGAGGAAATTCTCTCATGGCCGTGATCATTAAACCTCCTCACTTACCTTCTCTGGGAAGCACCCGTCTGAACAGTGGAGTGGGGCATCCCATAAGCTGCCAGGGAACAGCAGTCTGCGTGCAGCGACCAGGGAACGGTGTGGCCTCCCTCCTCCCTCACCCCGCCCAGGTCTCTGCTCTGCTACCGGACTTACCGCGCACTTTCTTTGGAATTTTAATGCAGGTGGCTTTGTGCTGCAGTCGGTTCAGGTTGGGGCTCAGTCTGCACCTGACCTTAAAGACTCTGCTAGGAAGCAAAACCCCTCTGGGTGAGCTCTGACAGCCACCGAGGGAAGAAGGGGCAGCCAGGCTCAGCCGTGCCGGCGGTTCTGTGTCTGCCCCCCACAGCCGCCAATTTCATTATCTAACTGCTGCCGTGTGACACTGAAGCTTGAAGTACTATAAATTATTAAACCAACAACTTAGAGAGCCCATGATTTCACCTGACAGCCTCCATGTTGCTTCCGGGGAATTCAGAATATTACAAGAAATAAATGGCTTTAGCAGTTAACATCTTGCAAGAGATTTTATTTAAGTGTTGTTCGAGTAACTGACAGAAGTCTGTGCCTTGTTTCCACTGCAGACTATAAAAGATGCGCCCGGCTTCTCACTCGGCTGGCTGTCAGTCCCGTGTGCACGGAGGGTAAGGTGAGCTGCACACAGACCCGCTTGGGAGCACACACCGGAGATCGGAGTCCCATTTGGGACGGGAAAAAATCATGGGAATTCAGAAACATTCTTTGGCTAACAGCTCTACTTTTGAGTAAAGTTGACACAACACTCAGATTATCTCAAAATACTGACCATGAGCAAGAGGTGCCGCCCGCTGGCCTGGCCACCTCGGACAGTGTCGTACATCATCCACATGGCGACACGGTCCTGCGTGTCACTCTGAAACACAGCACATCAGCTTACTGATTTCCACACGTGACTGAAGGCACAAACCGGGCACACACTTGAAACCACGCCTGTTCTGTTAGCTTTCACTCATTGACTGACACGCACAGTAAGCATGTGACTAGCCGTGTCCCTGCAAATTCTGTAACACCTGGTCAGCCTGTGAGGCGGGGTCTGGCACCATGCCGGTAAGCTCATAAATAGTGATCCTCTTTACATGTTTCTATCGGTGTTATTCAGCGGCCACGCTGAAGGGCAGCGTTTCATTTTCCTGATGCAAATGCCACAGAATTCAGTCACTTTAGACAGCAAGACAAACTTCAGTTTCACCGACTGTACACTTACTGTTCGCTGCCTGCGTGGCACTGCCAGATGCTGGGCACATGCCACAAGTAAGACCCCCTTCCTGCCCACAGGTGGCTGTCCCCTCAAGTTCGCCAGCTGTCCAGAAAACCTTAACACCAAGGGAACACTGTATTTCCACGTAGGAGAGCAGTGCCCTCTCCCACAGCCGTGCCCACAGATATTCAGGCAGCGGGTGGGGACCGGGCACTGACGCTGTGTGAGGTGCGGTGGGTCTGCACCTGGCAGGGTCCGCTGCACTCTCTGGAGGAGGTGACGGCACAGTCTGCCCCTCTTCTCATTCTGATACCCTTGTTTCTCATCCCCTGCCTTTGCGGCACGCAGGAAAGACTTTTTTCTTTTTAAATCAATGAATGGATGTATATTTCTGCGTATCACCCAAGGTGCTATGCCGGGGAGATGAAAATGTTGTTTTTATTAACATTCTGCTTCCTCGTCTTTATCGTGAACTCACCACTGTTTACAGAGAGGAACCAGGCGCTTCCTTAGAAAAATTTCCGTTTACTTACAAGTGGGGAGAACAAGGTGCTCCTGCTACCTCCCCTGAACGAGCTAGTCCAGGTAACCCAGAGTGAAGTCGTTATCGGCGGCACTTAAACGCTCCGGTGGAGTTAATGCCGCTGGTTCTACGGCGCCGGTCTCCACGTGGGCACAGCCCAGGAGAGCTGAGACACGCGGCCCTAGCAGGCCGGCAGCCGTGGTCTTGACAATCCGCACCTGTCCTCTGCATCACTTCCGCACCCTACACACCAAATCAGAATCCGACTGGGCGAAGAAACACACGAAAGGCAACGGGATTGAGGCACGTGCTCAGGTTCCCAAAAGGGCACCTGCTTGACAGCCAAGGAATGGGTGAAGCTTAAAACGCTGACATTCCTGCCTGTTAGCTATAGTGATTTCGGACCTTCTCTGACCTGGCTCGTTAGCACAGCACAGACACAGCCCAGGCTTTCTCTGTTCTGTGCAGACAAGGCCGCAGAAAAACTCCCCTCCAATGCCACTCCATGACCTTGTCTTCCTAAAGGCCGAGTCTGAGAAGAGCAGGCTTCGGCAGGGAGGGGCTCTGCACCTGTGACCTGAGCAAATCCATGCGGTCCTTTCTGAAGCTTAGTAACTGACCTCCCCCGGCCAAAAGAAACTTACATTTGCAGCCGCCCTCCTTACCGGTCACAGACACCCTCGCTCGGTCGTCTGGACTCACGGTCAGTTAAATAAGGAGCCTGAGCTCTGGAATATTCTCAAAGAAATGTAGTTTTGAGTAATAAAGTACCTGGTTTAGTCTATCACATGCAGCCTAATCTTAGTAACCTGGAAGTTTATCATTCTTTTAAAAATAAATAGCATACCAATGGTTTAGATAGTCTGCCATGGACTGCTAGAAAGAAGTGTCTGATCTTGATTAAATTATTAGCTTTGCTAGCCCTGCGAGCACTGAGGCGTAAGGCAACCCAGCGATTTCCCAGACTGCCACAAATTCTAAATCGTCATGGGCTGGATCACTGAGGATTCCGACAGCAGACGCAAGACGAAACACTGTTCCTTAAACTTTGATAAGCATTCGCATGCATTTATGGTTTTCATTCCTTTAACATGGGCAGACATGCAGTAACTACAGAGCTAAGTCATACAAAATAAAAGAGGCTACACTTTTTGGAACACAGAAATATACCCGCACACTGAGATCCCTTATGTTTACAAATGTTCTGTCCTGTGACTGACAGGTCTTTTAGAACTGGTAAGTGTGAACAGCTGTGTGAGACCGAATGTGTTTCTTTCCAGCAGTGAGCAGAGCGGTGCAGGAGCGAAGGAGCCGTACACAGGAACCACGAGAAGTGCCTTGGAAACCAGCAGGGAATCAGCTACTATCTTTATAAACACACTCCCTCCTCAACAAGAGATTTATTTTTGCAGACTTCCATAGTTCCTTTGAGTTTTCTATGTCGTTGACGCTGTTTGCAGATACACATTCGGCAATCAGTGAACTCGACAGTGATACCTGCCGCTATTTTAGAAAATGAGAGAACGCTGAACATTTGACGTGCAGTGCTATAAAATACAGAGACTATTTCGTTTTGCTGATTAGGTGAAGTCACAAAGAATATTTCTTTAGAAATATAGGCAGAGTCTGAAACTATATTTTCATATAGCATACAGTATGATTTGATATTTTATATTACTTTTACAATTAAATTCCCAGAGTTTAATTTGAAATGGCATGAAAATTAAAGAAGGAGACTTCAGGCGTGTTTTGGAGACAGTAGAGTGCAAATCCGTTGAGTTATCTCCAGGCTGATCGCGTTTGTCCTCCGTACAACTGTGAAACAGTACTCTAGCTGTCGTGCAATATGTAAATACTGTAAATAACACAGGAATAAATGAGGTGTTTGTTATAACGCACTGTCTTCCACGTGACTCCGTACTTTGCTCACACGTTCAGTGCTGGGCGCAGATGTGCGGCTCTACTGAGACCACAACACAGGCAGAGCGCCAGAGTGGAAAAGGCACAAATAAACGAAACTGAGAGCCTAAGAATTTCTGTAAGGGATAATTAGAGTTTTTTTAAAGTAGAAGGTACTATATACCATATGGTGACATAGTTTCTTAGGACGGGCTCTGACCTGGTGGTGAGCATCCCAGATCACGTCGTAGCCATCATCCCCCGTGTGATTCTGTGATCACGGAAACACTAAACTAGGAGGAACCTTACGGCTTCTAAGCAGTCTCAGATTTTTTATGAGTAGATGTATTTTAAACAAATCTAGTTGGATTCAATTTTAAAAGATAAGTTGAATCCGGCAAAGCAGTGAGTTTCTCTGTCATACGGGCCCTTGTAAACAGACGGCGCTGTCTGGACAAGGCCGTACAGCCAGGGCATAGAGTCCTACGACTTTTGTCTGAGGATCTGTATTCATACACATAAACATTAAAGAAAACCAACAGGATTTACAAACATAAAGGAACAGGAAAGAGTAAGAAATTGCTTGACTTTAAGAGTAAACACTGAGTGACAGGAACAGGGTATCTTCTGTTCTCACAGAATCCTGTTTCCCAATCGCTTTAGGGGTATCATGACCAAATACCCACTCTATTTAACACCCTAAGTCTTCTGTATGTCTGAGTTACTCCACCAGGAGCAGGACTCACTCGGTGAGCAAACCACCGTCCTGTGGTGACACCATGGCCCTTCCCCGTGGCGTGGTGGGCAAGCTAGTCCCCTCGTCTGGCGGGCACCAGTGAGTCCAGGATCAAACGCCCCTCTGCACCCTGGGACCCTCGTGGTACGAGGCCAGAACAGACACCCAGACCAGGAGTCACGAGTCTCCCCTTCCTCTAAACTCCTCCTATACTTTTGAGCAATGATCCATCCACTCAGCCTTTGGATGAGCACTGATTTTTTTTGACTAAAAGTTCTCCCAGGATTTGGGGTCACCAACGATGACTGGAGGATCAAGACAGGGAGGACACCACACTGTCACTCACCTGCCGCACAGCGGCCCAGCCTGGGGTGCTGCCCACCCAGGTGGTGCCCGGGCAAAGCCACTTCCGGGACAAAGAGCCGCAGACTTCCTTCTGAATGAATAAGGCATTACGTGCGGGGCAGCAACGTGCTTATTTTCACTTTACTTCCCAATACTGAAGGTAAACATGCACATGTAACATCACAGCTCATCTGAACAGGACAACACAGGCAATGCTTTTGAATGTTCCTTCACTCGTCAATAAAAAAGCAGGCAGACACCAGATTTGTATCTTGGTTGTATTTCTGTAACACCCCAGTTTATTATGAAAACAATCTTTTCTGACATATCCATGAATTTGAGATTACCTAAAGTACATAGAAATTACCTATATTTGCCTATAAATTTATTAAATGCCAAGGAACGAATACTTATTAACATGCCAATATTTAAGCATGCCAACCAACATCACAGGACTTTTTCCAATTTTTTAAATTATTTTTTTCCCCAACTAAGCCAATTTATATTCGACATCTGGGTTACATGGGCATAAGAAAACAGACATTCCTCAACTGACCACAGATAAACCAGCATTCAAGTGTCCTTCTTTCTGGATATAATTAAGTTTGCAGAGGCAAAGTAGTTCAAATGGGAGCAAATGAGCTGGCCTCCTCAGGAAATAAACTAGACAGCAATCGAGAAGTACTGAAGGTGCTAACGACTGATTCCACAGATCTTTCTTTGTCCTGTCGTTTAAATATACTAGTGTGCACTATGGGTGTATGTGAATTAAAACACTTCTAATCTAGACTGTGGGCTCCCTGGAGGGCAGAGAGGTGCACCGGAGCAGAGGGCGCTGCCCATCGAGCTATCCACATGAACCTACTCAAGAGGTAGACGAGATTATCTAAGTCGCAAGAGGCTTAGATGATGACCTGGGCCTTAAGTGAGGTTTATACTTCATTGTGTTTTATTACCTGGTTTGTTCCACTAATTTTGCTATTGGGGCAAAGTGACAGGTTCAAGTAGTCCAAGAACGCTTACTATACTATAAACTGAATCAAAGAGTTTTATTTATCATTCTGCCAAACACAACTGATTTCCACCTGCAATTATTTTTTAAGGTAAGAAACAGTAAGTCAACGGAAGAGGAGCTGGGACCATGGAACATCACTACACGTGAGCACACTGAGAAAGGCAGAGCCTCAGGGCGGGGTCTAGTGCTGTTGGCTGCAGCAGGGCCCAGACCCAGCCTCAGTGGGCCTTCTCCAAGAACGCTCTGCAGCACCTGACACACTGCTGGTACACCCTCTCGAAGTCGGAGTCATTCCCCTAAAGGACAGGAAGAAGAAAAAAATAGCAAAACCTGCATAAAGAGAAAAGTCCTTAAGAAAACCTTTATCTGTTATTTAATATGGCAGGATACGGACATGATGTCTTCACATGAGCCCTAGAAGGTGAACTGTACTTACATAATAGGGATCTTCAATAATAAGTTGTTTTTGTGGATCATAGCTTCCAAGCAGTTCAATTTTAGCTTTGCAGTTTTTAACTTGATTACTTTTTCTATTCAAATCTCTGTAAAATTGAAACATGAACTTAAGTTTTCTGATCTATGGTTTCAAGTTAAACACGGACATCTGCTAGGGTTTTATGAAACATCCATATCAAAATCCAGCAAAAGTGACCTGATTAGAAATGAAACCGAACACCCCGCAGAGCTGCGCGACCCGACCCCGCTGCAGGCGCAGTCACGGCTGTCTTGGCTGTCTCAGGCGGGAGCTCACAGCGCAGCACAGTCCCACCGGTTTTGTTACACAGAACATACATTGTAAGGCAGACAGTAATTGTATTTTCCCCTGTGAAATACACTGAGACCATCAATCAAAAGATGTTTCCGAGATAAAACAGGTGACAGGAAGGAACTCAGAAACCCAGCGACCCGAGTCCCAATAGTCCCCTAAGACATCCTAACACGGTATTTCATGCAGTGTGTGCGCCTCACTAACTACTCTTCCTTCTTTGGCTCCTCAAGCTTCTGCCAAAGCTGAAAACTCAGCTCCACTCTTGGCGCGTTCCACCTTTGGCTTTCACGCTGCTACAAAGGGAAAAGAAGAGCTAAGCCAGCTTTAGGTCACGCCTCCATTTACTGCACTCGCTCCAACCGAGCACCAGTGACCAGTCAGGCAGGTGCTGCCTGTGGGAAGGGAACGCAATGGCCAAGAACCCTCACGCAGGGAGCCGCGGGGTCAGGGGTGGGAGCAGAGACGGGAGGTGCAGGGAGCCCTCAAGCCTCATGCACAACCTGGCCAAGGTGGCAGGGCAGCAGGACACTGCCACAAAGAAACGAACTTAAGCTGAACCACGAAGGATGGTCAGGAGCCGACTGGCCCAAGCAGCAAGGAAGAGCTTCCCGGTAGAGGGCGAGGCCTGTGCAGCGGGCTGGGCCTGGAAGGCGCCTGCGCCGCACAGAGACACGCTGCGCACCGCAACGCCAGTCAAGGCAGACTCAGCTTTCCCACTAGAGGGTTTGTACAACTCCTATAAGCAATGGTGTAAATGAGAAAAATGAGAACAAAAAAAGTTAACAACTGAAAAACAAAAATGGAAAATTTAT